AAAATTTACAGGAGGGAGGGGGGGGGGACACAAAAACGTTCTCTAGGACAGAAACAAGGGTTCGATTTGTTTTATATTTATTGCACAATAAAATTTTAAAGCTAGACATAAAAAAATCAGCATGTTCAGAGTCTTAGCTGGCTCAAAAATTGTCTTACATATGATATGATATCCATGTACAAAAGGAGGGGGAGGGGGGTCCAAAAATCGTATTTTAGGAAATTAACTCATAATATATATATTTTTTATTATGACGAGTTGTGTGTGAGTGAACTTTGCTGAAGTAACCGAACTAAAAGTTTAAGCATCTGCAAAATGCCGCAAAAACTTTTACTATCATGAAAATAGTCGTCTTTACACAAGTGCAGACTAATCAATAGGGAATGGGAATGTATTTTTTTTTTGAAGGGAAGGGGTCAAGGCAACTGGAACTGTTACTTGTAGAGGCAGCAAATGGAGTAACCCCTGCTATTCAGGGCCTGAAAATATGTTCAGGGGTAATTACCCCTAGAATTCTAGGGGGGGGTATTTAACCCCAGGATTCTAGGGGGGGGTATTTACCCCCAGGATTCTAGGGGGGGGTATTTACCCCCAGGATTCTAGGGGGGGGTAAATAACCCCAATAACCCCCCTTATTTACGCCACTGCTTCTGCCTTGCATTAATTCTGTAAAAAGCACATTTATTGATTTTGTACAGAAAGAAACAATTTAACAGTCCGTGCTGCAGTCTCTCAAATCATCCTTTGTGGGTAACCCTGTATCTCAGAATTCTGCTGGATTATTTGAAATATTAAATTTTTAAACTATCAGTTTGCAAAGATATAAGAATTTAATTTTATCTGTTTTTATTTATTTTTTTACCAAAGTTCTCTAAAGGTGCTGGTGCAGCTTGTCCTTTTTCTCCTATTTCCCCTTTAGCCCCTGGTTCTCCTTTTTCTCCAATATCTCCTTTTTCTCCAACTTCTCCTTTTTCTCCAACTTCTCCTTTTTCTCCAATATCTCCTTTTTCTCCAATATCTCCTTTTTCTCCAATTTCTCCTTTTTCTCCAATATCTCCTTTTTCTCCAATATCTCCTTTAGTTCCTGGTTCTCCATGTTCTCCTTTCATCGTTTCAAGATCAACCTCGCAAACTCCTGGAGTACCTGTTTCACCCTGAAATTTAATTTAATAGATAATATTTATAGCTGTCTTGATATAGGGTTACACTGCACACGAAAGATGAAACTTCAGAGACGACTGTACGGATTTTATTCAAAGGTTTTTATTACAGGCATGGTTTCCTGTACAGTCTTTTCCTTTACCAAATATCAAATTATGATTTAGAAAATGAATCTCTTACAGTCACCAAAAAAAATCTAGATTTAATGTTTTTGTTTGGCTAATTATTAATTGGAATCCTGCATAGTGTAGAAAATAAAACTGTTCAAGGCCTGTGACACTCTTTTTGCACACATTAATTAATTCCATAGAAGTTTGACTTCTGACCTATCGATGGAACTGATTTTTTGACAGAAACTCAAATTTTCTAATTCCTAAATCTTTTATCCTGATTGTGTAAACCTTTGATTTTTAAAACCTGGACTTGTTGGTCTCTAGTAACACAAAGTTTGTCATATCAATGGTTTACAACGGATTGTTAACTTGTAAAGCTAGAGGGGTGCTATGGAAACGCCTCAACGCGGAAACGTCTCAACGCGGAAATGCCTCAAAAACCGGTTTTGAGGAATTTCCGGTTTTTTGGGAAATCCCTCAAAACTGGAAAATATTGAGGGGTTTCCGAATATTTTTGAGGCGTTTCCTAATATTTAATGTTGAGGTGTTTCCTCTTTTTTTTGGAGGCGTTTCCTTTTTTTTTGAGGCGTTTTTGAAAAAAGTTTTAAAACTTTATTTTGTTGAGGCATTTCCTCTTTTTTTTGAGGCGTTTCCGTTTTTTTGTTGAGGCGTTTACGTTTTTTGAAAAAATTTTTAAAACTTAATTTTGTTGAGGCGTTTCCTCTTTTTTTTTTGAGGCGTTTCCGATTTTTTTTTGAGGCGTTTCCGTTTTTGAAGAAACTTTTAAAACTTTATTTTGTTGAGGCGTTTCCGTTTTTTTTTGAGGCGTTTCCGTTTTTTGAAAAAACTTTTAAAACTTTATTTTTTTGAGGCGTTTCCTCTTTTTTTTGAGACGTTTCCGTTTTTTTTGAGGCGTTCCCGTTTTTTGAAAAAAGTTTTTAAACTTTATTTTGTTGAGGCGTTTCCGTTTTTTTTGAGGCGTTTCCGTTTTTTGAAAAAACTTTTAAAACTTTATTTTGTTGAGGCGTTTCCTCTTTTTTTGAGACGTTTCCGCTTTTTTGAGGCGTTTCCGTTTTTTGGAAAAAGTTTTTAAACTTTATTTTGTTGAGGCGTTTCCTCTTTTTATTGAGGCATTTCCGTTTTTTTATAAAATTTTTAAACTTTATTTGTTGAGGCATTTCCTCTTCTTCCGTTTGTTAAAAAAAAAACTTAGTTCCTTTCTTTAAAAATCTTTCCCCCTTTCCAAAATAATTAATCTCCTCCAAGAAATTAAACACCATGAGGTTTCAAAGAAATAGGGATTATAAAAAATGAGAAAAACAATTTATAGGGTTTTAAGGGTTTTAATTGCTGAATTTTTGGGTAAAAACTAAAAATAATTAAAAATGATGAAAACTTGCCTGTTATAATGCATCCAATTTATCTTTTAGGTAATTTCCTAGAAAACGATTTTCCAAAAATCAGCTAGGACGGACCCATCTTTTCTTTTTTGATTATCAATTTGATTCAATTCAATAGACGGCGTTTCTATTTAAGTTTTAATTTCTAACAAAGTTATTTAAAAATGTGGTGGATTCTACGAGAATAAAAAAAATGTTGTACAATTTTTTTGAAAAATTAAAGTGAAATTTCAATTTTTTTTTAAGTAATTTGTAGAAACTCCTCTAAACTGTTCGGAAAAATGTGCGGAAATGTCTCAACTTTATGTTTTAAAAGCCTTTATTGAAAAAACAGAAACGAAATTTTCGGAAAAGTCTCCTCTATAATGAATTTAAGAAGTTATCTAAAAAGACAAACTCTTCCAAAAATTCTGGAAACCCGTAAGGAAAAAGAGAAATCGACTCTAATAATTGAAGGCTTGAAATTAAAAAAAAAAAAAATAATAATAATAAAGTTTTCAAAAGTACGGAAAAACCTCAAATATTTTGCGGAAACGTCTCAAAAAAAATAGAAAAAACTTCAATTAAATGAAGTTTATAAAAATACGGAAACCACTCAAAAATTTAAATGAAGTTTTTAAACATACGGAAATGCCTCAAAAAAAAAACGGAAACGCCTCAAAAAAAAGAGGAAACGCCTCAACAAAATAAAGTTTTAAAAGTTTTTTTCAAAAAACGGAAACGCCTCAAAAAAAGAGGAAACGCCTCAACAAAATAAAGTTTAAAAACTTTTTTCAAAAAACGGAAACGCCTCAAAAAAAACGGAAACGCCTCAAAAAAAGTGGAAACACCTCAACTAAATCAAGTTTTTAAAAATACGGAAACGCCTCAAAAAGTTTGCGGAAACGCCTCAAAAAAAAGAGGAAACACCTCAACTAAATCAGGTTTTAAAAAATACTGAAACGCCTCAAAAAATTTTGCGGAAACGCCTCAAAAAAAGAGGAAACACCTCAACTAAATCAAGTTTTTAAAATACGGAAACGCCTCAAAAATTTTGCGGAAATGCCTCAAAAATATTGGGAAATCCCTCAAAAATATTGGGAAATTCCTCAAAAATAATTTTCAGGTGAAAAGCGGAAACCCCTCACAAATTGGGTTTTGAGGGATTTCCGTTTTTCTTGCAGAAATTGCGGAAACGTCTCAAAAAAACAGTTTCTGAGGGGTTTCCGCTTTTTTTGAGGCGTTTCCATGGCACCGCTAGAGGGTTACATGAGTTTGTGGTAAAAACTTAATTTCTTTGCAATTGATTTTGAGCGTACTGTCTTTTTATCAAAGTTTCTCAAAAATAATTTTTGTACTGCTCTTAATAATAATGATTGTTTTTACCATGTCTCCTTTAGGACCGGGCACCCCAGGTAGTCCTGCAGGTCCGGGTAGTCCGGTTAGTCCAGGAAGTCCAGTTACTCCTGGAGATCCCTTATCTGAATTAGTGATCTAATAAGGATTATTTTTCTTATCGGATTTTATTATTAAAGGGACTGTAAACATAATTTCAGATGACCCTCAATGCAAATATGATACCCTTGCAACTTTTATCTGATGATTAATGTGGAAGAAATTGTGTTTTTTTAGGTTTAAAAGTTTAAAAGGTAGAAATGCGCAAGTCACTCTTGTAGAGAAACCACAATTGAAAATAATCATTTTTAAAATTTGATTAAATTTAGATCTCATTCATACTTGATCAGAAAAGGCTATTAAGAGTACCGTTGTCAAAAAGGGAACTGCCAACATTGAAAATTCATTTAAAAGCTGGAAATATTAGAGTGGGTCTAATAAAACTGAAGAATAGAAAGACTGCTCTAAGAATAAAGTTGGGATTTTAATTAGTGCAATAATCATGAAATTGTGCATGGTGCAGATACAACCATTTCACTCTATAAGTTGATTTGCAAGATTTGCAAGTAAAACTATTTGCTTAAAAACAATTTTACAAATATATTCATCACCCTGTTCTCCTTTATCGCCTTGAACACCAGGAGGTCCTTGACCACCAGGAGGGCCTTGAACACCTCTAGTTCCAGGAGTTCCATGAGGTCCGGGAATTCCAGGAAGTCCTGGAGGGCCAGGGGGTCCGGGGACATCTCGTTTTATCTCAAGATTTGTCAACCTTTCAAATAGTTTTTTTCTTTTGATACAAAGTCAAAATTTAATGCTTTAAAAACTATAGATTATCGTATGTACCGTATATGTAAACCCTATTTCTGCCAGAAGAAAGGGTTCATTTGACCCCCCCCAGTACTGCCTATAGTATTGGTTGGGCTGTTTTGCTATAGCATCAAAATATAAACGTACTGGTAAATAAGATCCATTAACCTTTCAGTGAAATGTATGCTGGACACTGCGTTCATTTAGTAAGGAGTGTACGGGGCAAAAACTTTTGATTTGACCAATGAAAAATATGTTAATCCTATCTTGACGAAAACATTTAGTTTCAAAGATTTAGGGTTTACAACTTAGATCCTTTGCGCATTTTCAGTTATGTTGATATCGTATAAAATATACTAAGTTTGGAATATAAAACTATAAACTATATATAAAACTAAAAACAACTATATAAACTTTATAAACTATTTAAACTATTTAAACTATATAAACTATATAAATTATATAAACTATATAAAAAATTTAATAAAAAAACAGACCTGAGAACTTAAAAAATTATAGAACTTGTTATAAATTTGGCATACATAATTGCATGGAAATACATTTGGTGTGGGGATATTTACCCCCCCCCCCCCCCCAGCATATACAGGGTACACCTGGGCGCAGATATTGGGTTAAATCAATAAATTTCTCAATACCTGTGTTCAATGGTTTCGAAAAATTCCTCAACCTACAAAACAATCCTTCTGAGTAGTGAACTGTGTGGGGCATTTGATTTTGTTCGTTATTAGGACTTTTTAGGTTCCACACAATTTGAGAAGTTTTATAAATTTTAAATTGTTTTTTAAACATTTGTTTTTCTTACAATATGCAAATTAAATTTTAACCCTGAGAACAAAAAACAAACAAAACTTTTCATAGTTTGTTCATGCAAATATCTTCTTTCAGGGTCAAAATTTCATAAAGTGTAAAAAAATGTTTTTAAAAAATTGAAACTTCTCAAAATTGGGTGAACCCTTTAAAAAGTTATACAAATCTATCAATCCTTCAGAACCCGTCAGCAATTTCTCAACAGACTAGCAAGTGTAAGGATTGATCCAACAACGAAAGCTTATGGGCTATAAGGATACAAACTAGTGAATCTGCCAATTATGATACTTATATCCCCAAAACTTATGGATGATTCGGCCTTGGCTGGTTTTCCCATCTTTGGGATTCTAGCCACGCAAGAAATAATGGCGCGCCTTGCGATCAATTACCTCAACCACTTTTCCTATTTGATTTGGAAACTGATCTTTTTCCCAGTCTCGGGGGGGGGGGGGGTGATCTTTACTATCCATGACTATGTGTTAATTCATCTCGACAACGAAATTTGCAATATAAAAGGATTATCAAATTTCATCCATACTGAAGTTGACATAGTATACTGTATTTAGAGGATTGCAAGTTGCGACAATCTCACACCAAACCAGGGTTTCAATAAGGATGGGGGGGGGGGGGGTATATAGGTGTACTGCAATAAATAAGAATTTCAAATTACCTTATTTACCCTTTTAAGGGTTATAACTAGTAAGGGTAGGAGGGTGAAAGACAGGATTATATTAACTACTGTCAACACAATCAGAAATCGCCACCATCTTAAAAAAAATTATTTTCAATAATTTGTAATTTTTCTTTAGTATATTATTTTACAAATCAATTTAGAAAGACATATTTGCTTCACTTTGACACCTTTTGTGATTTATCTATATAATAAAACAGACATTCACATATATGTTTCGTATTGGTCTAAAATTGTTTTTAGGTGGCCGGGGGTGTTATAGGCTAAAAAATCGAAATTTTTTTCAATTTTTTTTTTCAAGATGATCTCTTTTTTTCCGCTGGCAACGCCAGGCCTTTCAGCTAGTTTACAATAAAAATCTTCAAGGCGATTTTTCATTGGAGACACATTCATCGGCGACCCCGAGCTTTTCATTGGAGACACATTCATTGGTGACCCCAAGTTTTTCATGGGAGATCCCTAATTTAGTCATCCTTGAAATTAATTTCTATTGTTACAGCAATATGTCTGAAACACTGGCAAGATGTCAGAAACAAAATGTTATAAAATTGCGAGAAAAAAAAATTGATAAATATTAAAATTTCATCTTTGCCAACCTTTTCTTTGTTTAAAGATACCGTTGCATGACATAATTTTATGTGTAACATGTTCAATTCACAACAATACCCATCACTGTGATCTTGCCAGGCTGCAATAGTGGCCAAAAAAGTTCAGGGTTGGCTTTATACATTTCCATGTTAACCCTAAACTACCACCACCGTAGTTTTTTTTGTCTTAGCACTCTCATTTTTGACACTTCTCACAGTGAAATTTTTTGACTTTTAACGAATAGTAATTTAAAGGATTTTTTGTTAAACAAATTTTATATTTTTTATTCATAGGTTAGGGTACAGGGTGGAAAAAAAGGCTGGTCTTCGAAAAAAAAATCTAAAATAGCCCATAACTTTTTTGTGACTAAAGCTACAGATCTAAAAACTATATTTCTAAAAAGCCCTTGAAAATGCATGTAGAAACATGTGTTACACTATGATATTTGTTTAAAACAAACAATATTTTTTTCTCTCACTTTTTTGACCCTTTTTTAGGCATTTTTTTCAACCCCAAACCTATTCTCTGTAAGGCCTTTGTCTAGGAGTAGGGCCTTTGTCCCCCCAACCCAGGCTATACATAGATTCAGACCCCCCAGCCTTTGTTAGGGTTAAACTTCTTAAAGCGGGGTTTTAAAATTAGAATGAAAATCAATGATATTTTAAAATATAAAAACCGTATTTATAACCTCTAGTTGTCTCTAATGGATAATGTTTCTTTATCATTTAAACGTGTACTGTTGTGATTTGGACATTCTATTCTAATAAATCAAGGGTTCACTTTAACCATGGGTACAGTCAACGTACCTTTCAAATTTGGTAGGATGATGTGAAACTGAAGATATAAGTTCTAATCTACTTATTCCTCGGCTTAATCCATTCAAAACATTTCTAAAAATGCAAAAAATCGTTTAATGATTGTTGTCTTTGTTTTTTTTTTTTTAATTCAGAAATTTTTTCTTTCAGAAAATTCTAAAGGATTTTGGGATTTTAGATTGTGTCGTCAGTAAATATGTTTCTGATATGTGGAGAGCACAGTTACAATTTTCATATTTTTTAAATCTTTATTTTCATAGAGAACATATGGTCATTCCACTGTATTCTGTTTACCCCTGTACACCTGTACACATGGTGTATTATAGAAAACAAATGCAGTACAGTGGTTTCAATTCAAAATCCTACTTTTCTGTTTTCAAAATTAAGTAAGGGTAAACTTCGTGAACACGCTTAAGTCTTTTTAAATTACGATTCTGATGTAGGCTTCTGATTGGTTCTGATTCGACCAATAAAAATCACTGGTTTGTCTGCAAAATTGCAGTTGACAAGATCCAGATCAAGGAGTATGAAATAGAATGGAGATACAACTGACGCGGCCCGACCATATGATTATACATGCTTTGCAGATAGTACTTCATTTGAATAAGAAATATTTGTTTAATGTAATATTCCTATTCTGAATACTTCTTATACAAATGAAGTACCCGTCTACAAAGTATGCACCATTGCACAATCATATGGTAGGGCGGGCCGCGACAGTTGTATCTCCCTTCTATTCCATACTCCTTGATCCAGATTGACTTAATGTAAATTTCGAAAACTTTAGTTTTAAAAGTGGAGAAATTCGAGCATTTTAAGTAAGCCGTTTTTAAGTTATAAAGAAAAAACATGGGTGGAACCCCCCCCCCCCCCATCGTTAACGGGTTAATGTAGAGATTTAATAATCTCCGGAGAAAACTATATTATATTGGGCGAATTGATTATCATCCTTGTTATGAATTAGAATTGTAATACCTAATTTCAAAAGCCATAATATTATTATGTCTGCTACAGTTTATTTTATGAAAAGGGTAAAAGACTGTAAAGATAATATAATAGCTCCGCAAGATGAACAGTGAAGACGGACAAGTTTACTCTGTTTGTATACTGCAATTTTCTTGTTTTACTAAGTACTTAACCGTCGGCGTCAAAACATAAACAAACAAAATGTGAACATTGCAGACGATTTACAGATTACAGTTTTCTCAGTAGGTATCACTACACTAAATCAAAGAGTTATTCAAAAAGACGATATCGAATTCGTCACTGAATTCCCATGTTTATTGGGACACCCTGATTATTGAAACTGGAAGAAATCCAATTTTCTAAAAAGCTTTATTATTCTTCTGTTTAAAATGAAAAGAAAAAATCCAATCATCAAAAAGATTTAAAACTAATTTATTATAAATCTAATCCTTGATTTAAATTAAATTATTTTTTAAATTTTTTTCATAAATTCAAAGTCTCACTTATCACTTATTTTGTTTGATTCGTCATCAGTCATGATTAAAATGTTCTGAAATATTTATAAAAATAATATAAAATACATTAAAAAATATATTAATTGCATAAAATTGTGAAAAAGAAGCACGGCATTTAACAATCTGTTATTTGAAAATTAAAGACCATAAATTGAGTCTTACAGTCGTCCTTCTACTCCATACTTATATATGTGTTCCTATAATAATAAAATACAGTTTAAACTTGAAAAGAACTGTTAGTGTAAATATGTCCGATATTAAACAGTAACATTGAATCCTTAATCTGATCAAAAATGTGGAAGATATCGTCAATTTCCTCACTCGAAACTCGACAGTGTTGAAATTTGATAATTTATCTAATGCAATTCTCATAAGCATGAAATAAACAGTTCAAATAAACAAAAACATAGATATATAAATCATATTTGATCAGACAAAGCAAGGAGTATGAAATTGAAGGGAGATACAACTGACGCGGCCCGCCCTACCATATGATTATGCATGCTTTGCAGACGGGTACTCCAGTTGTATTAGAAATATCTAGAATAGGTTATTGTATACGAAGTAATTGTACATCAGACAAATATTTCTTATTCAAATGAAGTACACGTCTGCAAAGCATGTATAATCATATGGTAGGTCGGGCCGCGTCATTTATATCTCCCTTCTATTTCATACTGCTTGGACAAAGCTTTTAATGGGGCCGTTGTAAATCATTGCCATCTTTGCACAGAGGGTCACTTTAAATTGTGCTTAAAGTCCCTTTCACCAGTATAAAACAGGTGGAGTGGAGAGTGTGTGACAGTTAGAGTTAGATCACTGAAGTTAAGCAAACTTGTCTACAGCCAGAAACTGGATTGGTGTCCAGACTGGTGTTCACGAGTTCGATTCCCGTGTATCACACAAACGTGTGGTTTCAAAAAAATCTGAAGCCGACATCTGATTAAGCAGTTATGACCACCTGACGGATGAAGGAGGACAGAGAGGCATTCTTTCTACTCAACAAGAAAGAAGCTTTAAGTGGATTGATCCAAGTGAATGATGATGAAGAGAGGAAAGGTGGACTTACAAATGATTGGGAGCAATGAGTGTGATGTTTCCTGTCTGTATGGCATCGGGCCTCATTCCAGTATATCAGAAGAATTCCTGCACTCTATTATTCTCAGGCCTAAGAAGCCCTTATGTAGCTGAAATCTTAAGTCAACCCTCTTCTTAGTATAAATGAAGCATGGATGGATGAATGTGCTGCCAGTTTACAACCCCTGGTAGATAAATATAAATCCATACAACACCAAACTTTCGCAATAGAAAAATTCCAAGATTTGATAGTAACAACCCGATCATGATCTCTTAAAAAAATATAAAGAAGAATGTCGTCGTTGTTCAGTATTTTAATCAGGCACTTTGGAACTGAGTTTTTGCCACGAACTCGGATTTTTTAATTTATGTATCTTAGCAACTCGATGACTTAGATCTGTGATATTTTAAACTATGAATTCTGTTGAATCAATTAGTTTAAGTTTTAAATATTAAAGGTTTAAATTAACAGGTTGCAAAGATATAGGGATTACAAAGTTCTTTTGTAATTCTAATTTGCTTCAATTCAGTATTTAGACACGGTTTTCTATGATACTATGACTATATTGTCATGAATATTAAATAGTATCTGAACTTTAATCTCTGTTATCAAGCATCCAGCATACAGCATACAGGCATAGAGAATAGAATATAAATTAGAGGGGAATTTAAAGAATCTCTCGGTATGAATATTTTCAGTCCCTTTCAGTCTGAAAGGGAGTTCACAATATACAAATCATGTAAATGTTCACAAAATATATGCAGTAAAGTACATTAATACAGTATATTACCTAGACTATCCATTTCAATTTCGAATTTTTTAAACTGTTAAATAAACTTTATAATGAATTAGGTGAATAATAAACATCATTTGATTTATAGTTTTAACGGAAAATCATCGTTTGTAAAGTGAAAGGCATAGAGTCTATGTGAAATGATCATTGGTCAACTATGAAACCAGCCTATTTCATAATTTGGTTTTCTTTTAACAATAATTTTAGATTTTCTATAAAATGATATTCCAGGGCTCAAAAGGTTATATAGCATAAATATGTGAAGTACACCTGCAGTATGGAAATAGTACAACAAAATGGCCGTTTTACACTTTTTTCTAGTAAATTCCCCTCTAATATATATTCTATTCTCTATGCATACAGGCTATAGAGAATAATATGAGTAATAATACGACTGGAAAAAAGCGCAATTTTGGTATTTTATTAGAGAGGGCGAATATTTAATCTAGTGTGTTTTTATTCTTAATGGATCGCGCCACAGAAAATATTGATTTAGAATGAAATTCTTGAACTTTGAGTCTTTCTTCGACAACGTACATTAAGCCATTTTTTCAATTTGTCCCTTTTATTGACCTGAAATTTGAAATTTCCCATTTTTCAATGTCTAGATGGAAGGGGGAGGGGCACATCTTGTTCTGTATAAGAATACAAAATAATTATCGCTATTTTTAATAAAATAAGATAAAATATTTTTCAATCTTTTTTTATTTCTCTCTTAATGCCATTCTGATAACTACCAAATTTTTTGATCATTTCATCTTTAACGCTAAAATTTATAAGCATGGGGAGACCCCCCTCCCCCATAAAAAACCGTAGAGTCAAAAACTGTTGAGTTATTTTTAGCGTATTTGGCTAATTTGAAAACACCCTCTAATATACGTTTAAACATTTATGATCTCCCGACAAAAATTAAAAAGAAAAATATAAAAAACCTTGGCTTTAAAAAATGTGACCTTCTGATCGTGCTATACATAAACCATCTATGATACTTTTTTGTAAGTCAACAAGCCGAGATAATAGTTTAAGAATTAGAGTGGTTTTGGGTTAAAATTGAAAAATGTTTAAAAATTAAAATCTGAAGTGTTGCGCATGGGCAAATTCAAAGATTTATTTAAACATGGAAGAACTGGAGAACAGAAGGAACATCATAAGTTGTAGTAGTTTATTTGAACCCACAGAGATGAAGATAGCAGGGAAGAGAAGAATTGAACCAGAATGGAGAAGTCAGACTGGAGCAGCCAGGATGAAGCAGTCAGACTGGAGAAGCCAGTCTGGAGCAGTCAGTCTGGAGCAGTCAGACTGGAGCAGCCAGGATGGAGCAGTCAGACTGGAGCAGTCAGGATGGAGCAGCCAGGATGGAGCAGCCAAGATGGAGCAGTCAGACTGGAGCAGTCAGACTGGATCAGACACACTGGAGCAGCCAGGATGGAGCAGTAAGACTGGAGTAGCCAGGATGGAGCAGTCAGACTGGAGCAGTCAGACTGGAGCAGCCAGGATGGAACAGTCAGACTAGAGCAGCCAGGATGGAGCAGTCAGACTGGAGTAGTCAGACTGGAGCAGTCAGACTGGAGCAGCCAGGATGGAGCAGTCAGACTGGAGTAGCCAGGATGGAGCAGTCAGACTGGAGCAGTCAGACTGGAGCAGTCAGACTGGAGCAGTCAGACTGGAGCAGTCAGACTGGAGCAGTCAGACTGAAGCAGTCAGACTGGAGCAGTCAGACTGGAGCAGTCAGACTGGAGCAGTCAGACTGGAGCAGCCAGGATGGAGCAGTCAGACTGGAGCAGTTAGGATGGAGCAGGCAGACTGGAGCAGTCAGACTGTAGCAGTTAGACTGGAGCAGCCAGGATGGAGCAGTCAGACTGGAGCAGCCAGGATGGAGCAGTCTAGATGGAGTAGGGTCAACCCTAGGGTTAGGTCACCATTTTGTATAGATTTGGTCTCTTTATGGAACTTATACCAGAGCAATTATCAGTCTTATTTATATTGTTAGATAACAATTACGATTACAAAAGTAAAGTACAGGGTTATTCATAATACATTATTGGTTTATTATCGACAATTATTTATTTCCTTGTTGTTAACTTTATGTCATGTTAAGTTTCTTTAATACTAAAATGTAAGGAAGGTTTGACCTGAATTATCGGTCAACTTGGGTTCAAGTCTAAAGAAATTGAACTGTTGTTTATATATCTATTTTTAACTTTTAATTGCTTTTACAAACTGTTTGTCTTACTCATGAATTTTAGAATATTTGTTTAAATCATGAAAAGTCTAAAACTATAACTCGCTACATAAGATAAAGCCAGCCTAACTAATTCCTATTCATTTTTAAAGATAAATCTAATCTGAAGATTCACAGTTAAAGTCATTATCTTTCATCATGTTCCTACACACTATATACAGCTCGGAGCTATGGTCAGTTATACAGGGTTACCCACAAGGGTTGAAACTTCAGAGATGCTGTATTTCCTATACATTCAAGGTTCATGCTATCATTATTCTTTCATGTTTCCTTTAGAAACCATTTAAAAAACTCCAAAAGACTTTTTTCATCCAAAACCAAAATTTTTCCTTTAAAATGTCAGGCTTAAGGACATTTAGGTCGTCATTAAAGAGTCCTCCATTGTGGGTAACCCTGTACCAAGGATCGGATAAACCAGGCACAGAATCCTACCGGACTGTATTCACGCCAACCCAGTACCAAGGATCGGATAAACCAGGCACAGAATCCTACCGGACTGTATTCACGCCAACCCTGTACCAAGGATCGGATAAACCAGGCACAGAATCCTACCGGACTGCATTCACGCCGGTAAAATTGTTGCATGAACCGAACCATTTTAGTGTAATTGTACCGTAAATGCATCCTTTCGTACGATTCACTATAGTTTCAGTAGAAGTAATATTTCCATTTACTGTCAGAGCCGATTTAGGGATTCATATCGCTAATTGGATAATGAGATAGATAGAAAGATTACCGAAATACAATTTCTTTTGATTCAGAATAGACAACAAACACATGTTGGATCAGGCGCTAATGGACTCGGCATACTAGAGTAAAGCGTGGGTAGGCTACCAAGAGCTTAAGTATGTGTTGTGCCAAAAAAAAGGTTGGCTGGCAGGATCCATTTGTACTATATATGTCTAGACAACCTGCTGG